GATGGTGAATTGAATTGTACTGAATAGAGTAGCTGAATCTCTTGGCCCATCTGCCCACTTTTAATTCGGCCCACATTTTAAATTTTCTTCAAAACCCAACAGCCCTCAAGTGAATTTGAAGTTGGTAAATCTGTGTCGGGATACAGGCATGAGATTTGTGCTAAATGAGGCTAAACATTGGAATCCTATGAATCCCAATGCAGCAGATCAGAATCCTGAAGATAGAATCCCAGATGGCCTGAAAATTTGCTTTTTTTGGATTGTTTGGCCACCTGATTTGCTTCCAATTTGCGGGATCCGCAAATTTGACATTTGCAGGACCCGCAAATTGGAAGCAAATGATAAGCAAATAATACGCAAATTTAATATTTGCGGCCCCCGCAAATTGGAAGCAAATGAAAAGTAAATGCTAAATTTGCTTTCAATTTGCCTATAATTTGCGGGCCCCGCAAACGGTAGTGTGCACCCAGTGTAAGCGGGAATGGTGTTTACGTATGTTGCGACACTGCCGTTTGGGCCGGTTTGGCGGTGATGGCCGAGATGCCGCGCCTCTTTTGACTACTTAAACATCGCCGAAAAAAAAAAACATCCTTTCCTCGTCCTTTCCTGCCTTCAGTTCGGATTGCTAGTCCATCAGTGCTTAACACTTCACCTTGTTCCAGTGCTCCGAATCACAGATCCGAGTCTATTCGATCTGTAATGAATTTAGTATTTACTGCCTTTTCCCGAGATAAAGTTCAACCCAATGCCTATCCTTAATGATTTGAGCTACCGAAGGCCTCCGAGCGGGGCCGCTTATGTCAAATCTCTGCCCCCTTTCAAGTGCTTTGTCTTGCCAGGTCCTTCTTCGGGCTGTGGATTGAACCCACGTTACAGTGAAGCCAACCGAACTTGAACGCTGAAACAATAAGGGATAATTCTATTTGGCAGCCCCCCTGCCCAGCAGCCCTGGGCTGCCAAATAGAAAAGTTCTATTTAGCAGCCCCCACGTGAGCTAATCTAACCGAGATAAACACACGAGAAACAGCCGCCTAAGGCATTCTAAGGGTCAATAGATGTTTTAGAAAATAATTGAGGTGTTCTATGAGAGGTATATGTTACTAAGACAGGCATTAGACACCTTCACCGATTTTTTCCGCATTTTCCCGTGAGTTTTCGGATAGTTACAGCTATTTGATTGACTCACAGCTTCAAGTGTTGGATGGTGTGTATGAATTGTCTTTCAGAGAAATTGCAAGATCATTTCAGATCGCCCCCGACATTTCTTTCCCAGACTTTAGTTGCCCTTTCACACCGCTATGGAGCCAACAGACACTTCCCGCCGCCTCCCGCCCTCGCCTCCATCAAGCACCACCAAAGATAACGTTGGGGGGCTGCCAAATAGAATCATCCAACAATAAGGTCTGGTAGGGGTGGAAACAACTTGAAGGTGGAATGGTCTAGCTCGTGCGGTTGCGATGGATGAGAAGACTCTGAAGAGGAAGAATCTGTTCCTGGACTGCCGTGACCCAGCCCGGCCAGGAACACTTCCTGCTCAATGCGAACATCGTGTATGCTTTACCATGTACTCTCGCCACCGGGCCCTAAGTGGTATACAGCGTGGTGGTCCTTCTGGCGGCCTGGCCTACTTTGTCCGGTAACCGAGTGGCTCACACACACTCGGAATTCAGCGGAATACTAGATTGAATCAGTTATGTTCGGGGCCCGAGCCGAGCTTAACATTTTCTTGCGCCCGTGCTCAAGCTAGCTCCATGATCTTGGAATTAATTTTTGGCCCTGAAAATCAAGATTTCAACGAATATTAAAGTCAGTGTCCCGCCGTGCCCCTTCGAGTTCGGTCGCTTCAAAAATCTGCAGCCCACCCTCGACACGTCAAGAATACTTATGACAAGTCTTCAAATTCTCAAAATTATCCAAGCATCTCAGTTCACAGATGAATCGTTCACACAATGAGGGTCTCTATAAATAATCCCAAACGAATTCCAAAGTTCCCGCTTCGCTAACTACTGGTTGTGGAGAATATGGTAATCACCTTAAACAAAGCGAGGGCCTCCCGCAAGCCAGACCGGCACTCCTTCCGCATTCTGCTTAATTCTCCTTGCCGAAACAACTGTTTGATTCGGTTTCCCTCCTGTTGTGAATTTATCAATCTTGCGAAGGGTTCTAGATTGGAGCTAGTTAGCATTCACCTTGCGAAGTCCAATGTGAACGTTAGCGCACTGTGCAAATTGCCCGATATGTTCCGATGTTTCCGGGGGGAGGGATCCGGGAGCCTCAGATTTCAGATGCAAATTGACGATGCCGCAGATTACACCGTGTATATTCTCTAAGAGCTCGATGGACTCTTCTTGGTGTCTCGTTATGTTCTGAGTATGACCCCGATAGGTCAGTCGGACAAGATTGGAACTTCCTGTGACCTCCTACTTGCCGGAATACAATGAATCAGGGAGGAGGTTGCCTTTGTGATGCTCAAGAGAAAGGGCGCCTCGAAGACTTGGGCTGCATCGTTCACGAGCCCAACAGCAACTTCTAGGTAGGCCGCGATGCTCTTGAGGCGATTTTCAGTCGCATTGGGTGTAGGCGGCATTTCAGAGAATTTTTCTAAACTACCTGCCCTTATATCACGAATCGCGTACCGGGAATAGAACGTTTCCACCGGTCAGCGCGCGCGAAGAGCATCTTGAGCTACCCTGGTCTGCCAAAAATGAGTGATGTAGATGTTAGTGCGTGGGGAGGGCCAGTAGGAATGTGCACATGTTGTGTCTGATGTGAACCATTGAGAAACACCCGCCTTATCTCAACTTGAAATAGAAGGGTGACCAAAAGAGGAGAAGACTCATTCTTGTCTTTAACCAAACTTGCACATGTAAGCCGTAAAGCCCGAGATCGTGGGCAAGAGTGATAATAATTTCCTGTGAGTGTGAATAAGGACTCCTATAAGCACTGGAGAGTAAAAAATGAGGGTCATGAGTTTATCCCTTCCTGGGATCGAACCAGGTTGTCATTAAGCTGACACAGATCGTACTCAGTTGTTGGAAGCGCGAGACTTTTTGCTATCGGGTTGTTGATGCATGCGGAAAGGTGTTGCCCCAAAGCACAGGCCTGGACTCGAACCAGGACCTCCCGCTGAACCACATTAAAGCTGTAGTTGGGGCAGATGCGAAACCTCTCGCTTCCGATTCTCGAAGAGCTTGGCCTCAATGAGAAGTCTGGTAGGTGGTGGATCGCACTCGAGGCTGGTTAAATTACAGCTGGAATCAAAGGTTCAGGCTAATCACCCTCTTTATAAAATTAAGCCTGTCTGAAGCTTCGACAATGCCGAGCGCGGGCCGACACGCGCTGTGTAGTCTATTTTCAGGTCTTAACAGCCTTTTACACTTCAAGATCAACATCATCCCCCAATTTGATGGCGTTTCACGCCCCGCCACTCAAAATAAACTCAATGAAAGAAAATCTTGACGCGAGACCGCTCGCCACCGGATCATCTTTCTCTAGTGTAGAGACAATTTTCCCTAGATTTCAGTCAGTTGATACCCCCAACCTAAGAGGGATTCAAACGTGAGGATCACTGCGGAATAACCCAGTCTGGAATCGAACCAGGTATCGTTGAACTAAGTTGACAAATGTTGCGGATACGAGACCTCTCCCCACTGGTCTTCCTCTCTCTAGCGTAGAAACGGCGCATATCAGCATATCACCCGGATTTTTTTTAACCATCTACGGGAAAAACCTCGCTCGAGCCAATGATCCAACCTGGAATTGAATCAGGCCCTCTGGATCGAGATTCCAACCCCCATCAATCAGGGCGGGCGCGAGACTTCTCGCTACTGAGGCCTTCGTATCCTTTGGAGGAGCTCCGAGTAGCCTTGCGTTCGCCAGAGAGAGGTATGTAACAATATTTGATGGAAGGAGACGGTTGAAACAGCGTGAGGTTGAATCTCGGGCATCTCGGGCACCGCGCCGATGCCTCTAAGCGCTGTTTCAGGACTTATAAAGTCACTGAATGTCGGCATCAATCTCTTGAGTCTAAGTGTGGTTGAAGAAACGGCAGCTTCGTTGACGAACCTACCTAGATCACCCTTTGTTTCCTGCCACCTTGACCGACACCTTGAGCGACTCATGTCGATGGCCGACTTACTAAAATGCCTCGATCGCCGAACACGGACTCAGACTGTAATCGCGCGCTTTACCCTGAACAGGAGGTGCTCAAAGGTCTTCGTGGCTTTCCGCGTCACCAGTATCTAAGTATAATTGAAAAGTCGGCAATTGAAACGTGGGAATTACCGCCGGCTTCGTTCGGCAGATGCTCGGCATGATTTTGTTACATAGTTTCATCATCTTGAGCGAGAATGAAATCACGGGTAATGGGATCCCTGAGTGTGCGCGAGTGAACATGAGATAATAGAAGAGGAGGGAAAAGCTCGCGGCTTGCCGGTTCATGACCGAGCCTGTCCCCCTCATTATATCGCGAGCAGTCTAATTGGGGCGGGGCGCGATACGTCTCACTAACGGGCCCTCCTATCATTCTGACGAGTCTGATCATGTTGGTGTCGCGAGGACTTTTGTGTACTTACGCTGAGGAGGAATTTCGAAAAAAGGATTCAAACTCGAAACCATGCGTCTGACCCAGCCTGGAATCGAACCAGGTCCTCCCGCTGAACCGACATGTCTGTCGCAATCCAGTGAAATCGGGGCGGCCGCGGGACCTCTCGCCACCGGGTCGTTCTTTCTCTATGGCCGAGAACACTGGTGTTGACTGGATTTCGTGTTGCGCTGTTCCAACCCGAGTTGAGTTGTCCTGAAAATCGCATTTGGCGATTGCATTAATATTGACGCTATTTCTGAAAGAAAAAAAAAGTCGGGCATGACCCGGGTTTTAAGTTGATGATGCAGCCAGCAGGAACGGTTCAACTCTCAGGACAATAGAGCTGTGGGTAGAGGATTCAGATGGGGTGTATACGTCAAGGAAGATTTTCGTAAAAAAGACGGCTGTCCCCATATGACTCAGGCTGGAGTCGAACCAGAGCTGCCGCTGAATTCGGTTCGAATCATCTAAATGTTGCGGATGCGAGACCGCTCGCCACTGGGCCTTCCTATCCTGCTGAGGTACCCTGAATTAGTGAGGACTTTAGCAGCCGCAGTCGAACGCACTGGAAGCTAATCAGGGAATCGAAGGTTCAGGATCCGGAGCATTGATCATCAATAAAACCCTGGTGCGCGCGCGAGTTAACGTGGGATACGAAGAGAACCAAAAAAAAGGGAATCACGGCCTATGACCCAGCCTGGAATCGAACCAGAGTTGCCGCTGAATTGATTTAAAATGACCGCCTTCAAATGGTGCGGATGCGAGACCTCTCGCCACGGAGTCTTCCTATCCTACCGAGGTACATACTCTGCATTAGCAAGAACTTTAGCGAGCGGAGTCGAACGCACCTGAATTTGGTTTAATTTTGAATTGCAGTTAAGCGAAGGTTCGTTCAGACGAGAGTACTAGTGCTGCTGCGTGCAGGTCGAGTCAACGCGGGGTAAGAAGAGAACAGAAAAAAAAACGGTGGTTCATGCATGACCCAGCCTGGAATCGAACCAGGTCCTCCCGCTGAACCGATGTGGTTCCGTTTAACTGGGGCGGGCGCGAGACCGTTCGCCACTGGATCTTTGTATCCCTGCCAAGAGCGTCAGTGAGGACTTCGTTCTGGACGCTAACTAGAAAAAAAAACGGTCGAAGCACAATGGAGCTATGACCCAACCTGGAATCGAACCAGGCTGAAACGATGTCGTTCCCATAATCCGAGTCAGAACGGATGCCAGACCTCCCGCCACCAGGTCATTTTTTACTTGATGGGGAGATCCCTCATATTGAGCTTGTGTCGCGCCGATGTTCCAAATCGAGTTGAGTTGGCCTGAAGATCGCATTTAGCGCGTAATATTGAGGCTATTTTCGAAAGAAAGGGATACTCGGGCATCCGGGTTTCAAACACTAGCTGATCATGCAGTGCCAGCCTGCAGGAACGGTGAATCGCGAGGTCAGGACAATAGAATGCGACATGAGATAGCACTTACGCCGAGGAGGAACCTTTGAAAAAAAGACGGCTGTCCCCGCATGACCCAGCCTGGAATCGAACCAGAGCTGCCGCTGTATCGATTTTGGGGGACGACGAGTTGTTGCGGATGCGAGACCTCTCCCCACTGAGTCGTTCTCTACTCGGTGGTGAGCACGCTGGTGTTGTCTGGGTTTCGTGTCGCGCCTGCGCCTGTTCCAAAAAAAAATAACCTCACGAAGTATGACCCAGCCTGGAGTCGAACCAGGTCCTCCCGCTGAACCCAGATCTTGAGCGTTAATGAAGGCGGGTACGAGACCTCTCACCACCGGGTCCTTCCTATCCTGCTGAGGTACTCTACATTGGCGAGCGCAGTCGAACACACCTGAAGTTGGTTTAAATTTTGAATTGCAGTTAGTCGAAGGTTCATCGCTTAGCGTTCAGGACGATAGTACCACTGCTGCTGCACGCGTGAGTTAACGTGGGATACGAAGAGAAGCAAAAAAAAAAACAACCTCACGAAGTATGACCCGGCCTGGAATTGAACCAGAGCTCCCGCTGAGACAATTCACACGCTGTATTAATCTGGGCGGGCGCGAGACCTGTCGCCACCGGGTCCTTCCTATCCTGCTGAGGTACGCTGCATTAGCAACGACTTTCGTGAGCGGAGTCGAACACCCCAAGTTGATTGAGGAATCGAAGGTTCAGAAGCATTGAATATAACCCTGGTGCACGCGCGAGTCAACGTGGGATAAAAAGGGAACAAAGAAAGCGACAATCACTCACGAATGACCCAGCCTGGAATCGAACCAGAGCTCCGCTGAACTAATTTCAAGTGACCGCGTTCAAATGTTGCGGATGCGAGACCTCTCGCCACTAGGTTTTTCCTATCCCTGAGGTACTACTCTGCACTTTATGATTAGTGAGCAGAGTCGAACAAACCTGAAGTTGGTGTAAATTTGAATTGCAGTTGGTCAAAGCCAGCGTTCACGGCGATAGTACTGGCGCTGCTGCTGCGTCCGCGAGTCAATGTGGGATACGAACAGAACAAGAAAAAAAATCCTCACAGTCACAGTAAGGACCCAGCCTGGAATCGAACCAGAGTTGCCGCTGAATTGATTTAAAATGACCGCCTTTAAATGGTGCGGATGCGAGACCTCTCGCCACGGAGTCTTCATATCCTCCCGAGGTACTCTGCATTAGTGAGGACTTTATCGAGCGGAGTCGAACACGCCTGAGTGGTTTAAATTTTGAATTGCAGTTGGTCGACGGTTCAGCGCTCAGCGTTCAGGACGAAAGTACTAGTGCTGCTGCACGTGCGAGTCAACGCGGGGTAAGAAAAGAACCGAAAAAACAATCCCTGTCACGCGCATGTGGCATGACCCAGTCTGGAATCGAACCAGGACCTCCCACTAGATAGCATGGCGATTTTACGAATCGAGGGGGGCGCAGGACCTCTCGCCACCGGGTCGTTATCTACTCAGTGGTGAGCACGCCGGTGTTGTCTGGATTTTGCGTTGCGCTGTTCCAACTGCCTGAAGATAGCATTTAGCGGTTGCCTTGTGTCCGAAAGAAAAACATACTCGGGCATCCCGGGTTTCAAGCTGATCATCCCCGGGTTCAACTTTCAGGACAGTAGAGGTGGTACATAGAGGATGTAGATGCAGCTGCAGATGCGATAGCCTGAGGAGATTCGTTAGCCGAGGCGGAGTTATGAAAAAGGATTGAAACTAGACCATGACCCAGCCTGGAATCGAACCAGAGCTCCGCTGAATTGCCTTGACCAATATTCCTTTTTAGATGTTGCGGATGCGAGACCTCTCGCCACTGGGTCGTTCTTTCTCTATGGCCGAGAACGCCGACGTTGTATCTTATGTTGCGCCGGCGCCTGCATATCGAGTTGAGTTGTCCTGAAGATCGCATTTAGCGATTGCCTTGTTTCCGAAAGAAAAACATACTCGGGCATCCCGGTCTCAAGCTAATCATGTAGAACCTGCAGGAATGGTGAGTTCCGGTTTCGGGACAATATATTCAGAATGCGACATGAGATGGCACTAACGCCGAGGAGGGACTTTTAAAAAAGGATTGAAACTCGAAACTATGACAATGACCCAGCCTGGAATCGAACCAGGGCTGCCGCTGAATCGGAGTAATGGACGACTTAAACATTGCGGATGCGAGACCTCTCGCCACCAGGTCGTTCTCTACTTGGTGGTGAGAACGCTGACATGTCGCCTGTCAGTGTTCGAAGTCGAGCGCCTAATTTGCATACATCCTTTCGAAAAAGAAAAAAAATAGTAGAGTCTGGCATTCAATTATTCACCGCCTTTGATGAAGCCAGGAACGTATCAGAGTCATCCATGCGTGAGCCCGTGCGCGTTGAGAGTTCACCGCAGTCCGCAAGCAGTCCGCAGATGTTCCAGTCGGAGCCGCCCCAGGTTGTTTCGAGAACGGGTTTTTATACCAGAATTGTGATGAAAAGACCCAGGATACTTTGCGCTGAGGGATTTGGTACATGGAGGTCGGAACGAGTGAGGCGCTGTGCAGAGTTTGGAGCTGAGGGAAGACAGTCGAACTCAGGGTCTCAGTGACTTGGCCTTGATCAACTTGATGGTGGCGAAGACGGAATCAACGGATCAATCGCCTGAACAAGACGGAATCAACGGATCAATCGCCTGAACAAAAGAGGCGAGCTTGTTTGTGCGTATTTGATTCTGCCCTCATTGTCGTCCATATTTTGTTCCCACCAGTGGTGCCGTTAACGACGACCGCAAATCCACCTTGTAAGTACCTTGTACTCTTACCACGATGCTCATAACCCCCGCGCCAGTCGTGCGGCGGAGCATCGGCATCCCCCCGACAGCCACGTCCGGCGTCCCTGCGTCCCACATCAGCCACTCCCACCGGTGCTCCGCTTTTTCTCCGCATTTTTTGCGGCTCGAAACAAGAGGCAAGCGGATCACTGATCTCGCACACAGATCAAAGCACGTGCTGACCATCCTTTGCCAAATTGGGAAGCCTTGCTCAACGCGCCTTTTGCCTTGAGAAAGCTCATAGGGTGCTACTAAAAAATGGAATGGTTCTGAGTACATACAACTGAGCTTCAAACCGCCATAGAGTCATTAATGAGCCCCCATGCCTCGGGTTGATAATGAAATAAATTCAATTTGGCTTTCTGAAGGGCACAGGTGAGAGTCCGTGGTTCTGAAAGGTCAAGGCATGTTTTTTTCAGGGCCCTTGGCCTCGTTCAATGTACGCAGAACGACCGCTGAAGGGATTTCGAACACTTCCCAATTTGGCAAGGGATGGTCGGCACGTGCTTTGATCTGTGTGCGAGATCAGTGATCCGCTTGCCTCTTGGCTCGAAATGCTCTCAAATGACGATCCCACGCGGACCGGCACCCTCGCACCACCTCAAATCAGACCGGTGAGACACAACTTTGCCAGCTGCAGCAAATGCTGATTTTCGACGTCATCGCCATCCTTGCAAGACGCGTCAGTTGCGACTCATTCGGCTCGGCCTTCGACCTCCCGTGGAATTTGTGCTCCTCTCCGCCGCGCCTGCCAGCGCGCGTATAAGCAGTTTTTGTTGATTGCCCTTGATTTCGCCTACCAACGTACCCATCTCTCGTCCCTTTCTAGTCCATCTTTGGTGTCGTGTATGTACACTGCCGCACACTGCGCCCGCGTTGTTGACTCGAGGCGAGACGGCGCCACGTCCTGTCTGCGTGCATACATATGCTGGTCTTACTTCCGGCGGGCCGAGTTTGCGCAGCGTTCCTGGACCGCTCGCGCGGCTCAGTGTTATATCCGTGCGCCAAGGCTCCGATCAACGTCCTTCACACTCCGGCACAACTTGCTCAACTCCGGTTCACTCCGGAGTTCGGAGACTACCGGAACTCCGGAGACCGCCGGAACACCGGAGACTACCGGAATATCGGAGACTAGATCGGCACGACTCCCGTGGTCATAGGACCTCAGTATCAATGGTAACGTTCACTCCACATGCATCTCCTTCTTCCCCAAGCTTCGAAGTTTATACATATCACCTC